TCTTCAGTTCCAACTGTAAGGTCCACCCCTACACACATAAAGTCACAAAAATAGAATGACACGGAATGGAAGTTAAGTGTAAATAATTATATTGAAGATACAGAAAAATAAAATAATAAGTTATGAACCTCTGAATTCGTTGTCCATTTCATCAACAACTAATGCAAGTTCATCACGTGCATCCACACTTTCTCCATCATGTGCATTCGGTTCAGCAATCCACTCATCATCAGATGATACATTATCGAAGATCAAATTATCCTCTTTCTTTTGTAATCTGCTCTTCCTAAACTTCAACTTCTTGTTGAACATTATAAATACCAAACTATTCAACTTAATGGCTGAAAGACGATTCCTTCTCTTCGTATGGACTTGATTGAATGTGCTCCAATTTCGTTCACAAGCGGAAGAAGAACACGTCAATCCAAGAATTTTGACCGCAAAAGCCCGTAGTTCTGGAATATGATCTCCAAATTGATCCCACCATTCCACTAAAAAATGTTAAAGAATTTAAAAAAAAGTGTTTTACAACAATACACAAGTACACTATGTATAAACGTTAAAGATATTAAAGATGTAGTTTAATGTTTACCTGGAGGACGTGTTTTATATGAATTTTGAGCCGTCCTCATTCCAAAAAGTCCACGCTTGTATCGATATTCATCCATTTGTGCATCAGTTTTGTTAAAATCACCACTGTCAGAAATAAGCCTCTCCATACAAGCATACAAACCTTTCTTAACCTCCACATGAGTAGAGAAGTCATCCTCCCATTTGAATCTAGGATTCAAATAATACGCTGCAGCATTCAAGTCTCGATGCAGTTGGTGCTCCCACTTCTCATCAATTATCTTCCAAATCTCACTATAAGTGGAATATTGATTTCCAAAATTTTCTGCAATTTTTTCTTTTGCAGAATCCATAGCACCGTAGATGAATCCCATTGCAGGCTCATCACCATCAACAATCCTCAACACTTCAACTAATGGACTTGATGTTTTTATTGAGTAAGCAACCCCAGGCCAAAACGTTCTGTCATACATCACAATCTTTTTAACCTCCTTCCCCTCAACTAATTTTGCATAACGACTTGAAGTCCATTGTTTAGAAACAAACATTCTTTGCAAGGGATCTTTTGCGGTGGCCATACAATCTAAATTCAAGAAAGCAGTAGCAAACCTCGTGGGGCCTGGACGAACTAGGTCTTTCTCGATAAACTTCCTCATAAGCTGCAAAAGCTATCCACGATTATAGATAAAATTAGTGACCTTTTTAGCTTTGATCAAGACATTTTTATTCTGTGGCAGCTCTCCAATCTTCTCAAGCATGAGGTCAATACAATGGGCGGCACATGGCGTCCAATACAAGTGCTTCCTCTTCTCCATTAAAAGTCTCCCAGCAGCTTTGTATGCACTTGCATTATATGTCACGATTTGCACTACCAGACTTTCTCCTATTTCCTCAACTACCCCGTCGAGCAATTCAAAAAGATAAGTTGCATCTTTAACTCGATTTGATGCATCAACAGATCTGAGGAAAACATTACCATATTGGTTGTTAACAAGAATGTTAAGAAGCCCTCGGTTTCTTGTGTCGCTCCACCCATCTCACATTATTGTAACTCCGGTGTGCGGCCATGTCTTCTTCACTTCTTCCACATATGTGTTCGTGGTATCATATTCCGCTTTAAGGATCCACGTCCGCAACTCATGCATAGATGGGGGTTTAAAGCATGCACCATAATTACTAACAGAACGCAACATATTAAAATAAGGACTACGGGCTACATTAAATGCTATTGCATTTTCAAAGAAATCTGCCCACATCTTGACAAACAAGATTGTGTCGCTCTCTCATGGTAGTTTTACTCATTTTGTTAGACAGAATATCATCTTCTACAACTTCCTGCTCATTTGCTACATCTCTTGAGCTACTGCCTGGACGAGTAACGAAACGATCAATAGGCCCACACGGTTGAGGTCCAGTTACTCCAGTACCAAAGTACGAGTCAGAATCTACCATTTCATCAAAAAACTTCTGGTTAACGTTTTTCTGATCTTGATAGCTCTTCAACATTGCTAGCACATCCTTTTTAACATTTTCGGGAACACTTTTGCACGGCGCCACATTTTTATGTGTTCCCGCAAGGTGCTCTTTAAGTCTCCTCACTCCACTAGTGATCACCTTATTACAATATTTGCATTTCGCATATACATAACCAGTCTTTCCCTCCGGAGGATTCAATTTAATTCCATGCTACCAAGGAGGATCCTTATCCTTATTTGAGCTGGACCCCTCTCCCCGATTCTTACTGGGTTTAACCATTGTGACTAATCAACTCACTCCTATGAATAAAATGATTTTTTACATGAATTTAAGTAAACTAGTCACAAATCACAATAAATAAACAAATAATTGATAATCAACTTAAATAAAAAATATATATAATCAAACTGTAACGAACTTAACTATACCAGGTCTAGTTAAAATTAAATCTTGAGTGAAGTAAACTACCACAGTACATAGTATTAAATTGTTAACAAATAAATTAGTATTTATTAAGGTAAATGATAGTTGTATTATACTATTATTATTTTATTACAACTTCAAAGTTCAAACACTAGGCTCATAAATTCATTAATAACTTTGTCAAACACATCACAGATTCACAATAAACAACATTTATGATCTTTTAAATTCAAAAGTAAAAAAAGACACAAATACAATCAACTATTTAATAAAAAGTTAAATACTACGTAACTTTTAATACTAAAAAGTTAAATAAACAATCAACTGTTTAATACTATGTAACTTTTAATAAATATTAAAAGTCAAATAAATAGTCAACTTTTAAATACGTAACTATTTAAATTAACTATTTAATAATTCAAAACAGAGCCGCAGGGAGGCTCGAATACATATACACAATAAACAGTCAACTTTTAACTACGGATGTTTTTACTTGGATTGTAATTCATCCCGTCCCAGACCAGACCAGACTTGGATAGTTATAAAAATACAAAGAAACCAGACCAGACCAGCAAATTATGGTACAAGTAAAAACATCCTACGTAACTATTTAAATTAACTATTTAATAATTCAAAACAGAGCTGCAGGGAGGCTCGAATACATATACACAATAAACAGTCAACTTTTAACTACATAACTATTTAAAATAACTATTTAATAATTCAAAACAGAGCTGCAGGGAGGCTCGAATACATATACACAATGAACAGTCAACTTTTAACTACGTAACTATTTAAATTAAGTTAATTAACTATTTAATCATGAAGACAAATACACAATAAGAAATTATAGAAGTTGTCAAGTTGGGCGGTGGGGGTATTCTATAATACCTGGATGAACCGGCAAAGCAGAGCTGCAGGGAGGCTCCTGAATTCTCTGTGTGGGAGTAAAGGAGGTTGAGCCGGCAAACCAGGCTGAGCCGCTGAAGTCCCGACTCCTGAGCAGATCTTCTTCACGTTGTTGTTTCTTCTTTGTCGCTATCGTAGAAGAGTTTCTTGTTGAGTTGTTTCCTGACTGGTAATTGCAATTTGGAAGATAGAGAGGACCTAGGGCTATGGCTAGGTGATATATGATCCAAGTAATATATATTTTATGATGAAAATATAAATTCAGGCCCCACTAATTAAAAGAAAAAGCCCAAAGTTGCCTCAACTAAGATGCGTACGCCTTTAAAACGCACTGTGCCTTAGGCCCAATTTATCGCCTCTTCAAAAAAAGGCGTAAGCCTTGTTCCAGGAGATTAAGGCTTAAGCCTTCGACGCTATAACATGTAGCCTTTGCGCCTTTGCGCCTCTAATGCGTAAAGGCGAAACTCCTTTCAAAACGATGACCAAACCTCACCCGAGGGAACAAAACAAATTAAATTGTAATTAAATTCTAATAGAAGGAATACCAAAATAGTCCATCCAAAAAGCTCTTTTAACAAAAATAGGAAGTTGATCAAACCCATAATAGATTTTTAATCTATCTGTCGAAATTTGGGCCAAGTGATGCACAGCCCAATTGCCCTCCCTTTTCAAGTGTCCGAAATGTAGGTGTTTCCTAAAAGCCATCTGCATAGCTTCCTGAATATCAATCGTCCATCGTCTCTCCTTCTTACCCGCAAGATACTCTCGGGCCAAACTCGAATCCGATTCAACCTGGAATTCATCATACCCTTCCTCAACCGCCCACCTAGTAGATGAAAAGATGACCTTAATCTCAACTTCCAATGGAGATGTAGCAAGTACTGGGAAGCAAATCGTCACCACAAAATTTCCCCTCCGGTCACGCAGAATCGCTCCCCCACTTGCTTCATCAGCTAAGTATCGCGCATCAACGTTTAATTTCCACTTCTTGTATGGTTTGTGTCATCTGATAATTTGAGGTTTAAACCCCCTAAGCTTGAAATTTGTAGGAATTAAACCTTCTTGAATAAGGATATCTCCGATAGTCCAAATCTTAGGAGTAGACAAACTAGCAACCCAAATCTGAGTATACATTTTAACTTGAAGAATTAGAGCATTCGAATTAGGATTTCCCCCTCCTCACCCCCAAATCTGCCTTGCGTATTCTTTCCAAATTATCCAACAGATGATCCCGGTCAGATTTTGTTTAAAAATGTCAACCAAACTCATGTCACAATTGTTAAGCTTCCAATAACGAAAATGACTATAATCCATCCCAGGAGGTTGATAAATTCCAAAGATACTTAAAAAATAGCTCCAAAATATGACTAATTACTGTCTTATTTTGGCAGTACCAGACTTCATACATGACAGTATTTTATAAACATGACAGTAATTAGTCCTATTTTGGGAATAAAAAATATGACATTCCTATTTTGTAATTTTGAAAATGTTTTAGTCCTATTTCGGGACTTTCCCTAAAAATTAACGGATCGTCAACAAAACCAAGGTGAGAAACAGCTCTGCCCCTATTTCCCATCCAAAAAGGCTTGACTTTGTAATAATTCACACTGACGTCTAGTTCGTTCCTTGGTTTGCTGGTTTCTGCTTCCACGTTCATCACCGTCAGTTATAGCTCAATTCTTGGATTAAATTTCTTGAAAATTCAATTTCTGAATTTACTAATTCACATGGATCATATAAAAGAGTATAAAATTTTTTGGATCATCACATGGCAGCAAAAGGATCGACATTTCTCAGCCAAACCCTTCATCTCTTTGGAGCTCCCCAAATTGGGCACGTCCTCATCATATCTTTTCACAATTTAGACCTTACATTGAGCTACTCCTTTGAGAGTTATAAACATTCTTTTCTTGTTGTTACAAGAAATGACAAAAAGCACCCAAATCAATTGCAAGAACGCCCAATCATCGGCGTCCGGTCGACTTATAAGCAAAGAAGACGGAGTGGGGTGAAGAACCAAATGAGCGGAGAAGTGGACTCCTCACGAGCGGACGACTCCAACAATGTTATTGTCTTTTGACCGTCAGTGTCTTCCAATTTTCAAACATCATCCCAATTATCTATTATGCCTACAAAATTTAATGGATTAGCAATTTTTAACATTGCACATGTGATGTTGGAAAAGATTGATTATAAAGCAATTATTGATGATTTTACTTCACAATGTTTTTTTGTGATACTTGTGTTGTTACTTTTGTTCAAATATGTATTTCAAATAATATGAAGGTGAATTTCATCTTTATTTTATAACCTCTATTAGATATATTGTTGTACGGAGAATTCCTGAAATAGGAGTAATTTTTTTTAGAATTCCAAAAAGGGCAGTCACGTGTTTATTTTCTGAATAGGAGTAATTACTGTCACGTTCAGAAAATACTACCATGCGTAAAGTATGATACTGTCAAAATATGGCAGTAATTACTTCTGTTTAGGTAATAAAAATATGATAATCTTAGTTTAGAATATACACACGTTTTTATTCTTAGAGTAATTTTCTCATAGTTTATTATACTCATTTGATGGAGTATATGGCCCGGGAACCCCCGGCCCACAGACTCCTACAACTGGTATAAAGGCCCAACCGGCCCAGGAAGCACAGCAGGCCCCAAATTACGGCACCCAAGCACTTAGCAGCCCACAGCGCACACTGGGGAGCCTTCGCCCCCCCCTGGCCGAAGGCTCAAAACTCTCACAGAACGGGTTTCTCAAGCAAACTAAGAAACTGGGGAAAAACGGCAGAAAACAGTAGCCCTCGGCACCTGGAGCCCTCGGCACTCAGGGGTCCTCGACACTAAGAGCCCTCGGTTAGTCCTCTGCAGTCGAGGGCACCTCTCCTGACATGATATCCGCATCACATGCGTACAGATCACCGTACCCTGTACAAACGTCCCATCCAACAGCCGCATTAAATGCGGCCACATGCGGCTGCCAGCGCCAACCAGTTGAAGTGACCTCTCGGCCAATGGGAGCTTGACGCGTGTCCCTGTCCGGCATTTAGTGCTACTATAAATAGCACCCCTTTTCCCCATTTGTAACCAACTCATAAACGCTGCATACTTTCTGAATACACTTTCTCTCTCTATACTTACTTGCTCTGACTTCTCTCTTGTTACTCCCCGCAATACCCCCCCCCCCCCCCCCGGATAAGCTACCCCCCGGGTACACTATCCATCATTTGGTGCTTTCATTGAGAGCCATTGGTGTATTCTGATGGTCTCCTGATAGGCCCATCCTTACCAAGAAACCAAGTTTCTTGATGCCTTCCCTTCACCACCAACCAAAAAAAAAAACAGAGGGGGTGAAGGGGAGTAGACTCATCGAGAAATCAATGAGTACAACACTCCAACAAATCACAGCATACCGAGGGCTCCCTACGGAAACACCTCCGGTAACTGAAGGCTCCTATTTCCCGAAGGTTACTACTCAACAATACAAAGGGATGAGTTCACTTCTAATAAGTGCCGAGGGCACCTACCATCGGTCATCCGTTGCTACCGAGGGGTCCTATCCTGTAAAAGGGGATCCAACTGACTAAGGCAGCTCAAGAACCCTTCAAATGAATGCCGAGGGCACCTATATCCCACCAGCATTCACTACAACATCAATATCCTACAAATTTTCCCAAGTCCACACTTTTGAGAAAATGACAACAGCCGGAGGCTCACATATCACCCAACGACCGAAGGCATCTACTACAAATCATCAAAGGCCAACCAAGGGGGATTATTCCAAAATAATGTCGCCCTCGGAAAATATCAAGTGGAAAACACTACTAACCGAAGGCTACACAAGGAAGCAACACTTAGAAATTTTTCTAAGTCCTGAAGATTGAGCCCCCAGGCTGATCAATATTTCAACTAAAGGAACCATGATGGCCGAAGGCTACGTGATGCAACAGCACTTATAAAATTTTCTAAAATCCTACATATTTGGCCCTCGGTCAAATATTCACACATCAGGAAGGAGGCTGCCAGCCGAGGGCTTCCAATGGGAGACTACACCTAGAAATTTTTCTAAGTCTTAAGGATTGGGCTCTCAACCTAACCATCACACAACAATTGAACTACGAACACCCGAAGGCCCTATGGTATGCTACACTTAGAAAATTTTTCTGAGTCCTACATACTTTGACCCTCGGTCAAATCTCCATGCTGACCGAAGGCTCCTACTACATACAGACTACACTTAAGAAAATTTTCTAAGTCCTAACTATTGCTAGGCCCTCGGTCACACATCTAGCAAAGGGTGCCCCAACTACCGAAGGCTATGACTGTATTCAAACACTTAGAAGAATTCTCTAAGTCCTAAAGCACCTCACCTCCGGCCATCGCACGAAGGCTACACGGAACCAGAAGGGAAGATCAGTCGGGGGCCAACAGATGAACACACACTTGGAAATATTCCTAAGTCCTGAACATTGCGCCTCCGGTAAAACGTTAAAGTAACTAAAGGTTACTAATAACCGAGGGCTACAAGAAGCACCACAATTGGAAGGAAATATTCTAAGTCCTAAACATACATTCAAAAGAAAAGAAGGACAACACATTCATATACAAAAGCCCGAAGGCTAACATTCATCCATCAATCATCAAAAGGAAAGTCAGTGTAACTATTACATACGGGACAGAGCCGAGGGGTGACAAAGGTTCATTACAAAGATTTTTCAAAAATCAGCTAAGTACAAATTAAGATTTATCAGCAACTTCATCGACGGTCCCTGCGGCAGGTTTGGAGGAGATTTCTTCTTCGACGGCATTGTCCCCGACGGTAGCACCATCATCATCGCCGCTCATCATCATAGAATCATGAATCACCGGGCGCTCGTCGCCCTCGGGGAGGGGGACTCTCACATATGGCTGCAACGGGGGAAGGCCATACACCGAGGGGTCAAACTCCTCCAGGGAGGTGCTGAAATGCCGGGCGAGCCTCCGGTAAACCAGATGCTGGGTGAAGAACTCGCCGGCTTTATAATAGGTGTCGCCCCTCTCGTTCATCCAGTCGAGCCCGGGGCCTTTCACCCACTCCTCGATCGAGGCCTTCACCACGGAAGCCACCCACTCCCTCTGGCCCTCGGCCTTCCAACCCCCGGAGATGAACCCAGCGATGGCCTCTTCTCGGGCTTTGACGACAGCTTCGGCCTTGGCATTTTCGGCGTCCTCAGCCGCTTGCTTCCTCTCCTCGGCCACAACCATCTCGGCCTCTGCCTTGCCCTCGGCCTTGCCGTCATCTCTGGCCTTCTCCAGCTTCAGCTCCGCTTGCCGAAGGGCGTCCTCCAGCTTGCACACCACCCGGAGGTGAGCGTCCTTGTCATGGATCAGCTCCTTCACGGACTCCTCTAGCTCGGCCTTATGACGGCGCCACTCCTCGCGCCTTCGGGCCTGCTCACCGAGGACTATACACGTCTGTTAAACAACGTACAAAGGGTTCATACGGGCGTTGAGAATGTACTAAGTGTTAAGATAAAAGCAAAGTAAAAATACTTACAGCCAGAGATGATCGAAGGGCCTTGCTCTCGAGGGCGTCGTCGTCGTAGGTGGAGAGGGCTTGCTTATCCATCATCGAGGTAACCCCCCTCAGGAAAGACATCGGTTCAGCTGAACCGTGCAGCACAGATGCCCCCGGGCGAGGGAGAGCTGAAGAATCTCCCGAGGCAAGCCCTCCGGGGGAAGATCTGTCTGAGCCATCGGAGTGTCAACGGCCGGGGAGTCAGCGGAGGGCTGATCATCAATTACTATGAGGGGGGCCGCCATTCCAACGGTGCCCCCGGCAACCTTCTGTTTCTTGATTTGGGGCTCCACCCCCTTGCCTCCCTTCTTCTTCTTGACGGCCACCTCGGCCTTCGGCCCCCCGGCCTCAGTAGCAAGGGCAGCATCAGCAGAAGGCTCCACAACCTCCTTCGGGAAGACCTCATCAATGGGCTTTTGGCCCGAGGGCTCCTTTATCTCCTTCTTCTTGACCTGAGCCCTCTCCTTCTTCTTTTTCATGGCAAAGAGAGCCTCCATACCTGCAAAACAATGAAGAGAAAGATTAACCCGAAGGATCCGTACGACAGACAACTATCGGGACGCAAAATAAAAATGCCTAAGTACAACAACTAAGGGCCCTCGGCTAGTACCTCCAGCCCCCTCGAAGGGTCTGTCCAGCTTGGGGTACTTCCCATCTGCCTCCCCAATGTACCGGTACCGTTGGAACCCGAGAGCATGCAAGTCATCCTCGAAAGTACATTCTTTGATCGTCACGATCTTCTTCTTGCCCTCCGGGATCTTGGCGAGTTTCAGGCCATCCTTCTCCAGGGCGATACTCCCCACCTTCTCGTGGCACCGAAAGCGGTCCCGTAGCTCCCTCGGGAAGGGGTTCTCGGCCAACCGGACATAGCACCATTTGTCTTTCCAGCCCTTGTTGGACGAGGGCGCCTTGGTGAACAACTTGAACTTCGCTATCTGCTGCAAATTGGCGAAGCCCTCGGCATTCGCGTGCCCCCCTCGGCACAAGTTGAAGCTTTGGAAGAAGAGGTCCAAGCTTGGAGTAACATCCCTCGTCCGGCACAGGTGCAGAAAACCAGCAATATATGAATGGCTGTTGGGGGTAAGTTGGCAAGGGACAAGTCCAACAAACCTGAGGTACTCCCGGAGGAATGGGTGCAGGGGGAACCGGAGGCCCATTGACACCGACAGGATGTGGACGGCAATACATCCCTCGGGTGGCCGGGACAGCAAATCATCGACGCCTGGCTCCACCACTACGGCCGAAGGCCCAACGTGCAGCTGCGTGATGTACAAGTCCGCCTTGTCCGCCTTCGACTTGATATCGAGGGCCTCGGTATTTAGCCAGGTATACCCCTCGGGCATTTCAACCGGCCCCCCAGCACCAGCGGCAACACCTTTCTTCTTGGGGGCAGCCCTCCTCGACTTCATCTTCCTCTTCTTGCCGGGGGCCATCCTCATAGGCATCGGGTCCAACGGCCTGGAGGTACTAGGCTCACCACAATCATTCCGAGGGGGTGGCACAGCAACGGTAACCGTCATCGCTTCCTTTTGAGCTTCGTCCTCCGCCACCTGAAACGCAAGGGCTAATTCTTCATCTTCGCACTCCTGTTCGAAGCCCTCGGCTTCCACTTCAGCAACAAGGGCCTTCTGCAACTCCAAGGCTACGACTTTGTCATCGGCAACCGAGGGCGCACTGCTAGT